CTTTGCCCAGTTACCACACTCAATGACCTTGATCAATCCACTGTGCTTTTTGCACCTCAGTTCCCTCCTTTGCAAAGCTGGAATAATGAAGTTCCTACCTCATAGGGCTATGGTGAAGTTAAAATGAGCTAAGGCATATAAATCTATTTAGCTGAGTGCTCCACGTGCAGGCTGAGGGTGGAAGTGCAAAACAGGATGCCTGTGTCTTCACATGGCAGAAAAGTGGAAAAGGAAACCCATTCCCTCAAGCCTTTTTATGAGGGCCTAGTCCCCATCTATGAGAGCTTCTCTCTCATTAACTAATCAGCTCCTGAAGGTCCCATCTCTTAATACTCTTGTCTTGGAGATTGTTTCATTATGAGTTTTGGGGCCACACAGATATAGACCAAAGCAAGGACAACTTTAGTTCCTTTTTATTGTGATGAATTTTTGTACTGTCTGAAAAACATACAATCCAGAATATTACTTACATAACCACAAAGTAAATAGGGTTATTTTTATGTGGAAAACAAAACACAAAAAGAGGAGTGTGTAAGACTTCTGAATGAGATGATAAGACGAGCAGAAAACTTCATCCATTTCTCTAAATGTCTCTCTCCCCATTTTTTCCACCCTCTTTGGAGTACCTTAATGAAATGATCAACAAAATATAATGAAGCAAAATCATCCTCAATGCTTTGATCAGTCATAGAAGTTATCCATAGTCCAGAAAAGATAAGAAATCTGTAGGATAGAGTACAAAAGGACTTGGGTTTAAAGGAAGACAGGGCTAACTTGCACTGTTCACTCTTGAGAGTATTCTCTTACAGGAAATATACAGAGGAGACCATTGTAAACTTCACTCTCAGTACTTATTTGGAGCAATCAAAGGCTTTGGCTGAGGCAGATCAGAGACTAGACAGTGTACACACTTGTAGGCTCAAAGTCACCTTGAGGCCACCATGCTTATGTAGCATCTACAAGTGGGGAGGAGGACGGCAGAGAGGAAAAGTAGTTATTATGTGAAAAAGATACTTGCTCACACATGTTAATTGCAGCACAATTTACTATTTTAAAAATATGGAACCAGCCCAAATGCCCATCAATCAATGAATAAATAAAGAAACTGTGGTGTGTGTGTGTGTATATATATATATATATACACAATGGAATACTACTCAGTTGTAAAAAGGAATGAATTAATGGCATTCACAGCAACCTGGGTGAAATTTAAGACTATTATTCTAAGTGAAGTAACTCAGGAATGGAAAACAGAACAGCATATATTCTCACTCCGAAGTGGGAGCTAAGCTGTGAGGATGCAAAAACAGTAGAAGGATACTATGGATTTTGAGGATTCAGGAGGAAAGGGTGGGAAGGGGATGAGAGATAAAATACTACAAATTGGGTTCAGTGTGCACTGCTTGGGTGATGGGTGCACCAAAATCTCACAATCACTAAAGAACTCACTCATGTAACCAAATACCACCTGTTCCCCCAAAACCTATGGAAATTAAAAATTAAAAAGCCTCTTGGATACACGCTGTATCCCTAACCTTCCCCCAGATTTGAAGAAGCAAGTGTTATGGTTAGTGGAAGGTTTTATAGAAGACTGAAACCATATCGGTTGATTCTATTTCACATCTATAAGTTCAAAGCACTAAGATAGTTTACTAGAACCTTGTAACTGAAAGTGTGCATCTTAGGGTGGCAGCATCAGCAATATCTGAGAGCTGATTGGAAACGAAGAACCTCAGGCTCCACTCACTGCCACTCAGTCAGAGTCCACCTTTTTCAGAAGATTCCTGGTGATTTATAAGCATGTTAGTAAGAGAAACACTGCATGAGGAGGCTCTAAATTAAAAATAAAAAGAGTAAATCAGCACTCAAGCATACTAAAAGAAAAATCCAGGAGTTCTCACCCACCTTGTTATAGAGAAAAACATTTGGATAGACTTTTACTTACTCTCACTTGGGAGTAAACAAACAAAGCCCAGTCAAATCAAAACAAACAAAACCTCAGAGTTGAATGATTCCACAATAATTCTGTGCCTTTAAGAAAAGAACACATTTTGGAGATTGAATAACCATAGCAAACAGGACATATAATGAAGTAAAATAAAATAAAAATACTTCTCAGTAAAATTGACATAAAATTCTTTTAAAAAGTTGTAAATAAACCAACAAGAACAGAAGGAGCTAAGAATTAAAATCTGCATCATATTCAGAAGAATATATAATGACAGAAATTCAAAATTACTAAATGGGACCATGATAGACAAAAACTCATTAAGAGTAAAAACATTCAAATGGCTAAGAAGTGAAAGTTTTCATATAAAAACTGGAGATAATCTATACACAATTGGCATTCTTAAAGGAAAAATAAAACACCACAAATGGAACAGTGATACATACATAGATAACATAGAAAAGACTCTTTAATGATACTCTAGTTTGCAGATCAAAGAAATCCCCTGGTTAAAAAAAGTTGAATGAAAACTCTAAACTCACACCTCTTAAAAAGAAACAAGCTCAAACAAGCCTCAAGTACATGCTGAAAATACTAATTCCCAGTCCCACTTTTAGAGAGTGGGTTTGGATGGAACCAAAAAATTCATAATTGCAGCCAAAGCCCAGTGTGATTTCTATGTCAGGTAAGTTTAGGAAACTAAAACCTAGTGACAAAGAGAAAGTCAAACAAGCAACTAATTAAAAAAAAAAATCATAGTGTATCTGGGAAGACAGCACCCAAAGCATGCAGTAATAGGATATTTTTTAAAAGCTTATGTTTCAAAATAGAAGTCAGTTAATATTTTCCCATTTCTAACACTAATTATTAGAAATATAAATTTCCAATATAGTTTTAAAAGTTTGGGTTAACCATACACAAAATGCAAAATGGTTGTAAGTTCTTCGAATTATTGGAGAAAAGCAAAATCCAATAAGAAATCTTAGCTCAAAGAACAAGATAGAAAAACAGGTATAACAAAATGGAATGAAAGCCCAAACATGAGTTATTATAAAACATTTAACCGAGACAAATAGCCTGATTACAGACTGGACAAAAAGTAAAGAACAATTCTGTTCAGTAATACTCTTCCAAAATAAGGTGAGATGAAATTGCTATCAGCAATTTGTTGAAGAGAATATTTTGGATCAAAAATTTATAAAATACTAAATCAAAGTATACATAACATTAGTTACAGCTAACGCGTTCCAGAGCAAACACTTTAAGTGGGAATACAAAGATGACTTATAATTTAAAATGATAATTCCTTAGAAAATAAAGTACTATTTAACTGAACTTATATTATCTATTTTAAGAAAAGATAGAGAAAAAACTCCACAACATTATAAATAAAAAGGATATATGATTAATAAAAACATTTTTCAATAAATAGCAGCTAGAATTTTCTGATAATAAATTTTATTTCATTTGAAACCTTGACAGAGTAATTTCTCAGAAAATGTCATGACTTTATTTGATTTAAGAAGAAATAGAAGATAGGAATTGACCATGGGTATGCAAAAATGGGATTTTTTTTTTTTTTTTTTTTTTTTTTTTGTCAAAAAGTGACATCTGAAAAATACTGTTGCCCCAACTGGTAATTCCAGGTCTGTTTTTATTTTGTATTTTCAAATATTTACTGCCTGTAACAAATTATGCCCGGTTAAAAGGAACTAAGATCAAAAGCCTTCCAATTCATTTAATAAAAATTTACATTTTGCTAAAACTGTATTTGATAATGATAGAAGCAGAGAAGGAAATAACTAAACACTATCAAAGCTAATTTTCACACTATTAAAGACTATAATCAAGAATATAATGTGACCATTACCAAATAATAGAAAAGAAAAAGAAATAATCATATAGGAATGTTCCACTTTGTTAGTAATCAGATAATGGAGATTAAGATTTTTGCTATTGTGATTATACTTATTATCTTAGTTGTGAAGACTACAGGGGGAAATAAAAAATGTTCATTTTTGAGCAAAAATTTTTATACATTTTCAAAAATTCTGTGGAAGTTTACTTGACTAATTCTAATCAAGAAATTTATTCATTGAAAATCATCAGAAATGCCCATAAAGACTTATGTACAATAATATTATATTCTTATTATGATAGCAAAAAATAAAAACTACTGAACATCTAGCAATTAAAGTTTATTTACATGCATGATAGCATATTTATAATGTGGGATTTTAGATCTTTTGCAAAAATTTAGCCAAGTGACTTTGATATAACCTGCAAAGAGAGATATAGAACAGTATATAGATAAACTACTAATGTCTTTAAATACACAAAATGCTCATTTAAAAATATTGGATGTATGTGTATATGTGTATAGATAGGTTAGATGGGTGGTAGATAGATGCATACCTAGATAAGTTTGCATAAAGAAATTTATGTGATAGATATGTATGTGTATATATGTACAGAGAGGTTAGATGGATGGTAGATAGATGGATACATAGATAAATTTGCATAAAGAGATTTTAGTTGTCTCTATAGCATTTATAATTTTTGGATGAGGAATTAAATGTATTTTGGCTTTCTTTACACAACTTTGTATTTTTCACATTTTGTGCAAAGATCAGCTCATGTTTGGGAAAACAGTGATGTTTAAGTGAGTACTTTTGCAAAAAATCAATACTGTATAAGGAAAGTTTGAGGCTGAGTTTTGGAACTTTTCCTGGGGATTCACAAATATCAAATTATAGACACTGCCTTAAGAAATCATTGGATCCTATTGTTTTGTAGCTTCTGTGAATTGTGCTTCTTGTTCCTTACCAATTCATTTCAAGTAACATGCCCTTATAACTCAGAGGGGACTGAGTTGAAGGAATCTGGCTCTATGCTGAAGGCTTTGGGAGTGGTGTGTGGTATATATTCATTTTCAAATAACTCAGCATCCTTCCTTATCTATTTTATTTGATTAGATCAAAATTTACTGTTGCTATTTTAACTGTTCCCAGAAAACCGTTAGGTTTTAGCTAGAGTGTGTCTATGAATATTCATAGACAGTCAGCTTCTGTATTGGAAACCACACCCACATCTCTGCAGTATCTGCAGCAAGAATAAGGGCATCCTCTGAGACCCATAGGGCAACATAGAAACTTGACAGCAGCTGCCTGCAGAATGCACATAAGGTTTGCTTGGCTGTTATTGATTTTTATAATAGGACTTCTGATTTATGATTTTGTATTATGGAAACATTTTTAAGCTTCTTATATCTGCTTTGCATGATTTGCCTATCACAAAAACTCATAAGATAAAAAATTATCTTTTTTAAAATCAGAGATTAATATGTAGCTTATTTATTTATTTTTGACAGAGTCCTGCTCTGTCTGACAGGTTGGAGTGCAGTGGCACAATTTTGGCTCACTGCATCCTCCGTCTCCTGGGCTCAAGCAATTCTCCTGCCTCCACCTCCCAAGTAGCTGGGATTACTGGTGTGTGTCACTTGCCTGGGTAATTTTTGTATTTTTAGTTGAGACGGGGTTTCACCATGTTGGTGAGGCTGGTCTTGAACTTCTGACCTCAGGTAACTCACCTGCCTTGGCCTCCCAAAATGCTGGGAGATTACAGATGTGAGCCACTGCACCCAGCCGATATGTAGCTTATAAAAAAAGTACATAAACCGTTCCTGTATTTTTGGGGATGTACAGTGAAGCAACACTTTGCATATACACATGGTAGGGATTGTATTCATAGGAAGGTTAAATATGTAGATAAATATGATGGTGCATGCCATGCATGTCAATGAGGCTATCATTTTGAGTTTGAATTTGGTATAAGAATACAGAGGCATATGTAAATGAGTCAATATATGGGTAAATACTGGAAGCTTGCCTGAAATCACATAGCTAGCTAGCTAGCTAAATTTATTTTATGTATTTTACTGGTATGCATCATTTATGTATATCTGTACCATGTAGCACATAGGTCAACAGGAACCTTCTTACCCCTGGGGGAAGAAGAAAGTCCTCCTCACAATTTTTTTTTTTTGTATGTCAATTATTGCTGCCTAGTCTCTCATGGCTTCCTCTATCTTATCTTGTAAACATTGTCTTTTAATTGCACTAAGTAGTCAAAAGTGGAAATCAATAACTCTTGGAGAACTGACCCCCTCCACACGATCCCAGGCCAATGAATCCCCAGGTGTAAAGACATCAGTGAACTGTGGACTACTGAAGTTTTCATCTGGGAAGAGTGTAAATCACAACATAGAACTTCAAATCTCTTTTTGAAGTATTTTTTTTTTTCCAGAGTTCCTGCCAGAGTCTTGCTCTCTGATTTCCCTCAGCATCTAGCCCTCCTTTTCTGTTCTTTTGTCTCTATTTTTCTCTAAGGAACTTCAATTCTCTTGTTCTCATTTATGGAGTAATTTAGCAGATTTGCATATCTCATATTTGCTTATCTAAACCTATCAATGTATTCTCAAAACAAGGCTTTTCTCATTAACATGTTTCTCATTAACATTTTTCTCGTAACTGTTCCTGCTTAGGAACAGTTGGGGTTATCTATCATAAGCCTTTTCTTTTTAATTGAACACACAGTGATTTTTCTTCAGCATGAGTGCACCTGGGATCCATTTTTTATTGTCTCCTCACACAGGGTTCTTCCTGTGTACGTTTTCCATCTCCAGTAGTTCAAACTCCTGTTTTTATTACAGTGATTTGCAAGTTTCTGTCTCAACTTGTACCTCCACCTGCATCACAAACCCACACACAGATCTGCGTTCCAGATATTTAGACTTGGAGGTCACTTGAGCACCTTACATTCAACATATTCAAAACAAATCTCTCTATATATCCCACAGGCAATGTGTTTTTATTTTATTTATTTTATTTTTTATTTTATTTTTCTATGCTCTTTATATGTATTAATACTACCACTGTCTTCATAAGCACCCAGAAGTCTGGGAGTTCTACTGTTCCCTGGTAATTAACATTGGCTTTCTAATGAAATTCTGTCCCCTCTAAATTTACTGTTTCCTTTCCAACTTCATTAGCCTTCTTTGGAACCCTCATTATTTTTTTCTCTTAGACTCTAGAAACTACCAAAGTGATCTTTTATATTCGATCTGTTTTTACTTCTTCTTCCACTTGTGTCAGAGAAATCCTTCTAAACTATAAATCTGACTTCCACTCCTCTGCTTCTCCTATAGGTCAAGCGCAGGGATGCAATTAGAGTACAGTGTCTGTCACAATCTGGCTCCAGGTGACTACCTGCCTAACTCATTTTCACTCCTCTTCAGGCCCCCACACTGGGTCCATTTTCTTCTTGCATCTCTCAATGAGCTATCACATTTGTATTTCTGAACCTATGTAAGTGCTGTTGCTTTTTCCTTAAAAGATATTCCTCAGTTTTATTTTTCTGATCAGTAAACTCCTACCCTTCCATCAAGACCCAAACCAAAAGAATCAACTGTTGTGAAGTCTTGTATGACCCCTGTACTTTTCCCTTCTGTTCAGTGTCAATTCCTTTTCCTCCCTGTGTTTCACAATACGTTCTTCACCCTCTATTAAAGCACGTTCTGTATTACACCGTGATGATTAATTTACACTTTGGTCTCTCCACTAGAGTGGGAGTTCCCAGGTCAAAATTGCATTATATTTGAATTTATTTCTTCTATATTGAGCACAGTACCTACAGCAAGGTCATGGATGCATAATGTTGAATTAAATAATGGCCGAGTCTTATTTATGATATTTGGAGACAAATGAACTTCAGATCTGCTCTTGATATGACCTTTTATGTAACAAAGATTCTCTCCTCGACTAGAGCTTAGCCAGGCTCCTCTGAGCCTTCTTTCAGACTAGGCCTCATTCTTGGGTTTTATCGTAGGCCTGCTCAGTGCAATTTTAGCTAGAATCCTGCTAAGTCACTTTAATAAGAATCTCCCCACCCTTGATATCTGATTACACTTGATAAGTCATCAAATTTCTCATCCTTAGCCTTTGGTGCGTATGTACGTGGGCTATGTTTAGCAAGAATCTTAAGTCATTTTAGCAAGAATCCCACTAGCTTAGATGCTAGCTATCACCTCCTAGTAATTTTCTTTTCTTTTCTTTCTTTTTCTTTTTTGACACAGATTTCACTCTCTTACCCAGGCTGGAGTGCAGCAGTGTGATCTCGGTTCACTGCAACCTGAGCTTCCTGAATTCAAGTGATTCTCAGCCTCCTGAGTAGCTGGGATTACAGGTACACACAACCACACCCAGCTAATTTTTGTATTTTTAGTAGAGATGGGGTTTTGCAATGTTAGCCAGGTGTCTTGAACTCCTGGCCTCAAGCGATCTGCCCGCTTTGGCTCCCAAACTGCTGGGATTACAGGCGTGAGCCACTGTGCCCAGCCAGTAATTTTCTATCCACTGATTCCCTCACTCTGCTCATTGGCTATAAATCCTTAATGGTGTGTTTTGTACTCAGAGGTCATCTCTCTCTGCAATGGTCCTGATACCTATGGTAATAGTGCTGATTAAAATCTTTCATATCCTTTTAACAAGTACCAAAATAATTTTTTCTTTAATATATGCCATATTTGTTTCTTTTTCTTTTTTTTTTTGAGACGGAGTTTCGCTCTTGTTACCCAGGCTGGAGTGCAATGGCATGATCTCGGCTCACCAAAACCTCTGCCTCCTGGGTTCAGGCAGTTATCCTGCCTCAGCCTCCTGAGTAGCTGGGATTACAGGCATGCGCCACCATGCCCAGCTAATTTTTTTTTTTTTTTTTTTTTAGTAGAGACGGGGTTTCACCATGTTGACCAGGATGGTCTTGATCTCTTGACCTCGTGATCCACCCGCCTCGGCCTCCCAAAGTACTGGGATTACAGGCGTGAGCCACCGCGCCTGGCCCCATATTTGTTTCTTATGAAGATATTCTTTCTGCACATCAGTAAGGTTCTCAGAAACATACTGATTATTCTAGATTATTTTTAAAATTCTTTCTATTTAAGATGAATTAAGTATGCACTTCCCAACCTACTTGAATAACTGGTTAACTTGGGCTTACAGAGTAGCTTACCCATATATGAGAATTTGACTGTTGTCAGGATAATATTTCAGTATCTTATTAATATACATGTGTTTTTTATACAAACAGAAAAGACATTTTATAATGAATGCATAAGGATTTGTACATCTAGATGATTATTAACCACTGAGATTCTTTAAGGTAGATAAAAATGCTAAAGAAAGAAAATCACCCAGTGTCTGAGTAATTCTAAGCATTGATTTGTATTTTACTTTTTCCTATTTCCAATCAATAGAATGTTCTTGAGCAGCTGTACACTTAGTCCAATAATACTGACACTGACTGAATGCCTCCTCTGGGAACACGCAAATCATAGTATTTTTAGGATCAATTTCAAGAGTTCATAATTACACTTTGGTTTTTCCTTAAGTATTAAATATGTTATGATTACTTCAAGTAAGATACGAATACAATACCTTTCCTGAGTACTATATTAAATATTTTTCAGCACCTACTGCTAGGTGCTGTGAATATAGAAGAAAAATTCAGATCAAACCCTTGTCCTCATGGAACTTATGCTGTCGTGCTAAAGAATGGCAATAAACAAGACAACCTAAAATCTGCTAGATAGTGACGAGAACGATAGAGAAAAATGTAACAATGTAAAAGAGGGTTTGTGTAGAAGACATGATTTTATGTGGGTTTGATAGAGTTCTGTAGAAAAAACATAACTAATATAATTGAGAAGATTAATTATATAAATCATCCATTTATGAAGCTGATGACCCATGACATGCTGTCTGTAAGCTGGAGGACAAGGAAATATAGTGATGTAATTCAGGCCATGTCTGATGGCCTGACATCCAGGGGAGCCCATGATGTGACTCCCAGCCTGAGTCTGAAGGCCTGAGAATGAGGGGTGACCATGGTGTGACTCTCAGCCTGAATCTGAAGTCTTAAGAACAGGAGTGTGTTTGGAGGGGTACTAGTATAGTTCCTGGAATCTGAAGATGCAAAGACCAAGAACTAAAATATCTAACAGCAGGGGAAAAAATGGCAGCAGTTTTGACCAGAGTGATATTCACAGTGGTGATTATTAGTGGAAGAGGCTGGATTGTGAGTGTATTTTGAAAGTAGGTTTGCAGCATTTGCTAATAGAGTCAAGGTTGGGTGGAGAAAAAGAGAAAAAATAAAGATGACTCCAAGGTGTTATGCTTGGACAACATGAAGGATGAGATTGCCATTTACTGAGATGAGAGGAATAGGGATTTGGAAAGGCTCAAGTTGGGTAGTAAGAATACCAAGAGTTTTGTTTTTAAATATGTTAAGACCTGTAATTAGAACTCTCTCCTAGAAAATAAATCTGTTGCATTTTTTTTTCTTGCCAAGATAGCAACAGACTTGAAGCTACAGATGTGCCTATGCAGTGGGTTGTATACTGAGATGGCTAGACATTGCAGTGAGTAGTGGGATACCTGCTGCAAAGTCTAGTGGGCTTGAAGATAGGACTTAAAACTGCCAATGGGACAAACAGACTCTCTGTATTTCACAAAGTTAAGAGAGCTATTATAATTAGATGATTAAGTCTCAAGACAGTTTAGCATGGATAGAATTCTACCTAAAGAAAGTCTGTATCTTCCTCCCTAGTATTAAGGCAGACTGCCTTCTCAGTTTTTGGGTTTTTTACTTTCTTTCTTTCTAACATATGGAAGTATCACTTCTAGCAAAGATGCTTTCTGTGCTTGCTTATAAAGGGTGCTAATGTTGCCTCAAAAAGGAGTCATATTTCCCTAAAATTACAGACAACCCTGAAAGTTGAGGTAGATATATTTCAGAGTTCTTGCATATTCAGAATTTCATTGGATGCCCTTGCATGCAAAAATTCAGTTACCATCATTTTCAGCAAGAAATAAGAATCTACAAAAACAAGATGAACCTAAATTCTAGAAGTGGTAAGTAGCAGCACAAGGTTGCCAAGGTGACTGTGTCAGAACTGGGATGAGGAACGAGGTGTGTTAACTCATAGTTTAATATTCTTCCCACCATAGTACACAAATATAATTAGAATTTAACTCTGCATTTCTTAATCTCTTATGTAGATTTTCTTTTGGAACAAGCAGAAATCCCTGCAGTCTAGTTTTGCATGAGTTTGTTGGGAAATAATTCTAGGCTATTGGCAAGTTGAGGAGAGACTTGCTCTTACTGAGTGATCATAAAATACCTTATATAAGCAATGGGAGACTATCCAGTTCTTTCTGGTTGCAGAGAAACTTGTCCACCAACTCCTGGAAACAGAAGTTTTAGACTCAACCAATGAAGCTTAAGCAAATAGCATTACCTCATCAAAAGAGCTTTTCATTGGCTGTTCATTTTCTATGTAGCTTTAAGATACTTTTCGATACTTTAACCCTTGTGTGTATAAATCAATGTAGAGCAGTGTTGGGGCTAACGGTTGATACTAAAGACATTTTAGGTGATATACATATAGCATATGGATAGATTAAAGAAGGGAATGTGATTTATTTCCATGCAAAACATGGAACAGTACTAATAGTCAATTTGACTTATAACAAAAACTTTATTTTCTTTTTGCTGACTCATAATACCTCTATTTGCATGCTAAAAAGATATCAGTTCTTGGAGGAAAAAAGAGCAAAGAGAACTATAGACTGATGATTTACTATATGTACTAAACCCTGTGGCTTCTGAAACATCTATTTCCCATGGATTACACCTCCTTAACCATCTGTCCTTGGTATACTGGGAGTTAGTGTTGGATTTATGTGCTGGAGAGAGGAATAGAAATCTATGCATGTGGGAACAAAACGGATGAATACAGCTGAGGTATTTGAGCAGCACTGGAAGGATCCATGGATGAAAAATCTCCTGTCGTTAACCATGAGCAGCTTACTTGTTCTTCTCTGATATAGAGATACCTTTGCCATTACCTCTCTTTTCTAGTCCCGTGAATCCTTTAGGTCAGAATAATTTCTCATTTCTTCTACTTAAAGCAGTTTCTATTAGTCTGAGTTAACATTTTTGACTGCTTACATTTTTTCTTCTGTCCTGCCTCTGGACTAATATTGTGACCTGTTTACAATATTTATCTTGTGTTGCCAATTAGATTATACACACTATGAGATCAAGGTTTAGGAGTTAAAAGTTTTCAGTCTCTGTCAGAACCTAGCACAATACACATCTGAGGACTGGTTAATGGGGATGATGATTGGAGTGACACTCTGGAGTAAGGGCATGAAAATTATCACACTTCTTAATAGCTAACCTGAGAACATTCCAGTCCAGAAAAGAAGCGCAGGCTTTTGTTTCTGTTGCAGTTCATAGACTTAGATTCTCAGAGGTATAACTTAGCTGAAAGTGCCGTAAGATTGGAAAAGACCTGGCTTTGACATCTATCTCTGTCTCTTTCTGTATTGTAAACTTTTATACATTATTTAATTTCCATGAGCTTTAGTTTCCTTGTCTATAAAACTGGGAGAAATGGAACCTAGATCACAAAGCAATTGCAGGGATGACAGGCGGGTGCAGATACCTACCCTCTCTGGCATCTTCTTTACCATCTCCCCTTTACTCTAGGTAAGATTCATTCATCCTAGGTGGTGAGAAAGAAAATGTTGTACTTAGCAGGAATTTTTTAATATCACTCTCTACTTATTTCTGCCATGGGATACTGAAACCTTCACTTCACCCTAACGTCCCTCACTGTGTGTAGCCAGTCCCCATCAGAACAGAAAAAAGTACACTGAGAGAAAAGGTCGTGAATTAGATTTGTTGTCATTGATCTGCCTCACCTCTCATGAGCCATGAGCTTCTGAAAGCCACTGGGATACAGCCTTCACCTTTGCCTCTGAGGTGTAGGCCTCTTTGTTCCTCTTTATTTTGTCTTCCTGTTCAACTTCTCATATCCATGGTGAGATAAGAGACTTAAACTCAACTGCGGCTCAGCATTGTTCGAATCTAGGCATTGTTCCTGTCACTTGCCTTTTTTTGAGCTGTGCCATCCATTCAAACTGTGGGAAGTCATGCCAGGAACCACAGGTTTGACCTGATTGCATGTTATCACCACCAATAGTAAGCCAATTGCTTTGACCTATTTGAGATTTTTTTGGCATCACTGGTTAGCCAGTTAATAGATACTTGATTCAAGATTATTTAATTCATTCACTTTTTAAAATTTTCATCTGTTGTTTCATTTAATTTCTGAGCACATC